CTCCTTGCCCCTCCCTGCCACTTGCACTAGCTCTTTCTCACGCTCTCTCTCTCAAATAAATAAATAAAATCTTTCTTAAAAAATTACTATACAATTTAAGGGGCACCAGGGTGGCACAGTCCGTTAAGCATCCAACTCTTGGTTGCAGCTCAGGTCATGATCTCAGGGTCCTGAGATTGAGCTCTGCACTGGGCTCTGTGCTGGGCGTGGAGCCTGCTTAAGATTCTCTCTCCCTCTCCCTCTGTCCCTCCCCAGTCTCTTAAAAAAAAAAAACAAATTACTGTACAATTTATTAAAATTTCAAAATCAAAGACTATTATTCCTTAAGCTTAAAAAATAATTTTATTGAGGTAAAATTCACATAACATAAAATTAATCATTTTAAAGTTAACAGTTCAGTGACATTTAGTATATTCACAGTTATGCAACCACCACCTCTCTCTAGTTCCAAAACATTTCCATCACCCCAGAATAAAATCTCATACCCATTAAGCTTTCACCCCCTGTTCCTTCTCCTGGCACCAACAATCTGTGTTCTGTCCTTATGGATTTATCTATTCTGAATATTTCCTATAGATGGATCATAAAATAAATGACTTAGCAGAATGTTTTTTGAGACTCATCCAGTTAGCATAATATTTGTAGCACATACCAGTACTTCATTCATTTGCATGTGGCTTGTTTAGATGTTCCAGCATCATATGTTATTTCTATCTTTGAGTTCAGTTTTTTGTTTTTTTAAGATTCCACATATAAGTAAGATCATAAAGTACTTTTCTTTCTCTCTCTGACTTATTTCACTTAGCCTCATGCCCTAAGGTCAATCCATTTTGTTACAAATGGCAGGATTCCCCTTTTTTATGGCTGAATAGTGTTCCCATTGTGTGTATGTACGTATCACATTTTCTTTATCTGTTCCTCCACCAATGGACATGTAAGTTTTTTCCATGTATTGGCCGTAGTAAATGGTGCTGCAGTGAACATGGGGGTGTACATATCTTTTTGAGTTTGGATAAATACCCAGAAGTAGAATTGCTGGATCATATGGTAGTTCTGTTTTTAATTTTTTGAGGAAACTCCATTCTCTTTTCCATAGTGGGTGCACCAATTTACATACCCACCAACAGTGCTCATGTGTTCCCTTTTCTCCACATCCTTGCCAACACTTGTTTTTTCTTGTCTTTTTGATAATTGCCATTTAACAGGTGTAAGGTGATACCTCATTGTGGTTTTGATTTACATTTCCTTGCTGATTAGTGATGTTGAGCATCTTTTCATGTACCTGTTGGCCATCTGCACGTTTTCTTTGGAAAAATGTCTATTCAGATCCTCTGCCCATTTTTAAATTGGACTTATTTTTAATTTTTTTTTTAAGATTTTATTTATTTGACAGAGAGATATTGAACACGAACACAAGCAGGGGGAGGGGCAGGCAGAGGAAGAAGCAGGCTTCTCACTGAGCAGGGAGCCTGACACGGGACTTGATCCCAGGACCCGGAGATCATGACCTGAGCCGAAGGCAGATGCTTAACCAACTGAGCCACCCAGGCGCCCTATTTTAATTGTTTTTTTGTTTTTATTATTTTTTTTTTTACTATTGAATTGTGTGAGTTCTTTATGTATTTAGATATTAACTTTTTATCAGATATATGATTTGCAAAAATTTTTCTCCCATTCAATAAGTTGCTTTTTCATTTTGTTGATGGTTTCCTTTGCTTTGCAGGAGTTTTTTAGTTTGAGGGGCGCCTGGGCGGCTCAGTCGGTTAAGCCTCCGACTCTTGATTTTAGGTTGGGTCATGATCTCAGGGTACTGGGATCGAGCCTCATGTGGGGCTCTGTGCTCGGCGCAGAGCGTGCTTGTCCCTCTCCCTCTGGTCCTTCCCCCTACTTGCTCTCTTTCCCTTCTCAAATAAATAAATAAAACATTAAAAAAAAAAAAAGAAGCTTTTTAGTTTGAAATAGTCCCCTGTTTTTTGGGTTTTTTTTTTTTTGCTTTCAGTATAAGATCTAAAATAATCATCCCCAAGACCAACATCAAGTAGCTTACTGCCTATGTTTTCTTCTAGAAGTTTTATGGTTTCAGGTCTTAATTCATGTCCTTAATCCATGTTGAGTAAATCTTTGTGTATGGTATAAGATAGTGGTCCACTTTTATTTTTTTTTTCCATGTGGCTGTGCAGTTTTCCCAACAGCATATATTGAAGAGACTATGCTCTCCCCATTGTATATTCTTGGCTCCTTTGTTGTAAATTAATTGACTATATATGCATGGGGTTATTTCTGGGCTCTCTGTTCTGTTCCATTGGTCTATGTGTCTGTTTTTATGCCAATACCATACTGTTCTGATTACTGCCCATGTGATTCTTTGAATGTTTTGTTTAAAAATAATGTAAATATGCAAGTAAAATAGTTGGGTATAAAGTTAAAATAAAATACATTTCCATACATCTGCCAGCATTAACTACTGTTAGGTGCCTTGTGTGAACTTGTCTATGCATCAACAAACACACATATGCTTCTTTTTTCCAGTATACAGAATGGGGTATTATATAAGGTCTTCAATTTGCCCTTTAACCTAACAATATATCTTGGAGATCTTTTCATGTTAGTACATGTATTAATAGGTCTACCTCATACTTTTAGTAGCTGTATAATGTATAAATTATACCTATCATGCATTTTATTTTTATTTCTTAAATAAACATTTTACTTTGGGGTAGTTATAGATTTATAGGAAAGTTGCAAAGAATACAGAGAATTCTTCACTAATTTTCTCCTAATGTTAACATAACTATGGTACATTTATCAAACTAAGATACCAACCTTGGTACATTGGTATTTTTTCCATTTTTTTTTATTGTGGTAAAATACACAAACAAAATTGACGTCTTAGCCATTTTTAGTGTACTGTTCAGGGGTACTAAGTACATTAATATGTACTTAGATTTTGTAAGTATATGTAGCATGCTCTTTGTGCAAGGTGGTTTTGTTACTTGGCGATTCAGGTTCTTTCTCCTAGGAGTTGAGTTTGTCTTTTTGTGCTGAGCCCAGGGGCAACCTCTTCTTGGCTCCTGGCACTCAGTAGGCTCTTAATGAAAAAGCAACTTATTGAATGGGAGAAAAATCTTTGCAAATCATATATCTGATAAAAAGTTAATATCTAAATACATAAAGAACTCACACAACTCAATAGTAAAAAAAAAATAATAAAAACAAAAAAACAATTAAAATTACATTAATATGGTTGTGCTACCATCATCACCATTCATCTCCAGAACTCTTTTCATCTTGCAGAAGTAAAATTCTGTACCTGTTGAGTAACTCTCCATTTCCCCTTCCCAGCCCCTGGCAACCACTATTCTACTTTCTGTCCCAATGATTTTGACTACTCTAAGTACTTCCTATAAGTAGAGTTATGCAGTATCTATCTTTTTGTGACTAGCTTATTTCACCTAACACAGTGTCCTCAAGATTCATCCATCCTGTAGCATGTCAGAATTTCCTTCCTTTTTTATGCTGGATAGTGCTCCATTGTATGTATATACCACATTTTGCTTATAGATTTGTCCATCGATGGACACTTCGATTGCTTCCACCTTTTGGCTGTTGTGAATAATGATGCTGTGAACGTGGGTGTACAAAGAGCTCTTTGAGACCCTGTTTTCAATTCTTCTGGGTATATACCCAGATTGTTGGATCATCCGATAGTTCTGTTTTTAATTTTTTTGAGGAAATGCCATGCCCTTTTTCACAGCTCTGTACTATTTTACATTCCCGCCAATGATGCACAAGGGTTCCGATTTCTCCACATTCTCGCCAACACTTGTTATCTTCTGCTTTTTGACGGTGGCCATCCTAATGGATGTGAGGTTATTATCTCATAGTTTTGATTTGCATTTCCCTAGTGATTAATGATGGTGAGTATCTTTCCCTGTGCTTATTGGACATTTGTATGTCTTCTGTGGAGAGATGTCTATTCAAGTCCTTTGCCCATTTTTGAATCAGCATGTTTTGTTGTTATTGAGTTTTAGGAGTTCTCTATTTACTCTGGATATTAATCCCTTATTAGATACATGATTTGCAAATATTTTCTCCCATTCTGTGAGTTGCCTTTTTACTCTGTTGACGGTGTCTTTTGATGCACAAAAGTTAAAAACCTTCATCAATCGATTTGTCTGTTTTGGGGGTTATTATCTGTGCCTTTCTTGTCATATCAAAAAAAAGCATTGCCAAATCTGATGTTGTGAAGCTTTTGCTTTATGTTTTCTTCTAAGAGTTTTATAGTTTTAGGTCTGGACTCATTTGGGGAATATTCTTTTATATCATGTTAGGTGAGGGTACAAAGTCATTCTTTTGTATATCCAGTTTTGCCAGGACCATTTGTGGAAAAGCTTATCCTTTTCCCCCATTGCATGGTTTTGACATTCTTGTTGAATTTCACTAGTTTTTCCTCTACTGTCCCTCTTCTGTTCCAGGACATTATGTTGTATTTAGTATTACCCATTTTAAAACGTTTAATTTTTTTAGGAACTTAATCTGATGGGTGAGAGATACACATGGTAGAAAATTCACAAGGTATAATAGGGTATATGCCTTTTGTATTTTACCAAAAAAAAGTCAGTCTCCTTCTCACTCCTATTGCCGTTACATGTGCAAGCACAGACGAATCCCTTCCCCAGAAAGTAGCCCACTGAACACATCAATGTTTAATGATAAAAAGGAGTGGACTGGTGGCCAAAATGGGACTCCTAAACCCCCAGAAGTAGCAGCCTTCTCTTTAATAGTGCTAGTCTAGTTGGCAGACACTTCACCTCCTAATTGTGAGTGAGGAGTCTCTGGCCCCTAACAGGGCCTTGTATAAAGCATAGAACCTTGTGCTATGCGTGTATGGCAGTGTTTTGTAAGTATATGTAGCATGCTCTTTGTGCAAGGTGTTACTAGGCCATGGACATGCTGGGGCAGAAGGACAGAAGGCAGAGGGAGGATGTGGCAAGACAGGATGTGGCAAGGCAGGATAGCCATTTCTGTCTTTTTCACTCAGGCTCTCTTTGGTCAACAGGTTTGTCTCAGAGACAGAATTGTTCGTGGCTGTGCAAAGTTTCCTCCTGTCTCTGCAGGAGCAGGGTGAGCGCCCTCCACTGGTGGTCTTCAGAGCCTCCATCTATCTGCTTGCAATCTGCCAGGACAAAAACGGAACACTAGATGAGGTATGGACCAAAATGCCTGGGGCTCTTCCTCCTCCTGCTGCACCCCTTTACATCATGGCTCCTTGAGAGACCCTGACAATATTATAGAGAGAAGGTAGGTGGCAGAGAGAGATAGAGAGGAAGAGAGGGAGAGAGAGAGTCTTGGTGGAATGGGGAGTGGGAGGGGGCTGACATTCAGATTTAATGAATGCTCTCAGTAGTCCTGAGAGGTAAAGATTATTATTTCTACCTTTTACAGGTAAGAAAATCAAGACTTGGGTTAAAGTAACTTTCTCTAGGTCACACAATTAATTGATGGTGGAGCCAGGACTCCAATTTAGACTTAACCAACTCCCAAGGCTCTTTTCTTAGTACAGCCTCTGGTTTGAGAAGGAGAGAAATGTGAGGTATATCCTTCTGTTAACAGTTTATCAAACAAGGTGGGTTGCTGGGACGCAGAATATTGTTAGGCTGATCTTGGATCGTTTTGACAGTGGTTGTGTGTATACAAGTTTTCTCTTTCCAGATTCTTTATAAATTCTTATGGGTCAGGACTATATCTGATTGATCACTAAATCTCTCGCCTCTTTCATTGAAGATTGCTTCTACTCCTCAGATGTGGACACTTCAGCTTCAACCTAGGGATACTCTTTCTTCACTGACTAATAACTTTGCCTCCTTTTTTTTAAGGATTTTAAAAAATTTATTTAAGCAATCTCTACACCCAACATGGGGCTCAAACATGACCCCGAGATCAAGAGCCACATGCTCCTCCAACTGAGCCAGCCAGGCACCCCGTCTTTTTGATTACTGTTGGGGCAAACATGTTGTAAGCAGACCTGGTTTAATTTGAATGGAAGCAGAAAGTTGTAGTTGGAGTGCATGAGTTTTCAAGTAAGATAGACCTAGATATACAGTATCCCATTGTCTCTTTTTTGATGATATTTGAAGCCATTGGTGATCATTGCCTACTATTAATTCATTAGGGATTGCAAAATAATAACACCCTAATTCTGGCATTCACTCTTTGTTTATTAACTGGGATACTTGCATAAAAGGAAACTTCCTTTATCAACTACTCAGTTACTCTAAGTGGTAGATTATATAGGAAGCATAGGTTGAATGTTTGATTCTTTCCCTTTTTTTTAAAAAATTTTATTTATTTATTTGAGAGATAGAGAGATAGTGAGAGATAGAGCATGAGCAGGGGAGAGAGGAAGAAGGGGGCACCTGCTGAGCAAGGAGCCCAACACGGGGCTCGATCCCAGGACCCCGGGATCATGACTTGCTTAACCGACTGAACCACTCAGGCACCCCTGATTCTTTCCTTTTAATTACAGTTTTTACAAGAAATGAGTTGGTTTTCTAGCATTCCTCAAAGGGGACCAAAGAGATTTTTTTTAGTGTCATTATGAATTCATGGATTTAAAAATACTTGATGTTTTGATCCACTGTAGTTATTATCCTTTTGAAGCTCCAATTGTCCTATCGTTGGTCAGTGGGAGCCTAGAAGGGTAGCTCCTGAGTCCTTTTGACACAACCCTAGTAGTCTTTGGCAGAGTTTGGGTTTTCTACTATGACAAGATGCTTTAAGCTTGTATACACTTCCTGCTCTCCCATTTGCTCTTGAACCTACCCCAGTTAAGCTTTCAACGTTACCACATCTCTGAAAATGCACTTATTAAAGTCACCAGTAACAGATACATGACTAAAGCCAGTAATCAATATTTGTCATTATCTTACTTGACCAATCAACAGCATCTCTTTTCTTTGAAACATTGCCATTATTTGGCATCTAGAATGCTGTGTGCTCCTGATTTTCCTCCTACCTCTCTGGCAGTTCTGTCTCAGTGTCTTTTGCTGATTTTCTCTTATCTCCCTGACCTCTAAGTGTTCTAGTGCCCCAGAGCTCTGTCTTTGATGCCTTTCATTTCTCTTTAAATTTATTTCTTTGGTGATCTCATATAGTCCCATGGTTTGATTCATGGCTGAATTAAAAAGGATGACTCTGGCTTCTAGGACAATAGACCAAGAGGGTACAAGGTGGAAGTGCAGAAACCAGTTAGGAGGTTATAGCAATAATGTGGACAAGAAATAGTAGAGGAGGTGGTGAAGAGCATTAACTTCTGGATATATTTTGAAATGGAGCCAATAGAATCTTGATGGATCGATCAGTGTGAAGTGTAAAAATAAGAGAGAATAAAAGGATGTTTCCAAAGATTTTGGTTCTGACGGAGGCCAAAGAACTGTTGTATTGAAATACTAGAGGGAGTGAGCTGGAAAGTAGGGGGGTGGTGGTAAAGTGGGATGCTTGAATTGGGATTATTAAGGAGCATGCCGTTCTTGGTAATGATGAAGCCTAGGGGCATGACCACGGGCATGACCGGCTGAGGCAAGTGGAGGAGATTAGAAGGGAGAAAGAGAACTTAGAGGCCATGTTTTGGAACTAGGGAGGTGGGAGCAAAAATAGCCTCAACTTGAGAGATTGTAGGCAAGACAGGTTTTTGGAAGAGGAGCAAAGCAACAAGGTGAAGGGAATATTCAAAGAAGAGGCACAGGACAAGGAATTTGCTGAACTGTGAGTGAGTTCTAGAGGACACTGTGGAAGGGTTTTGGGAACTAGGAATGAGTGGGAGATGGGGACGGAAAAGAGCATGTTTTGAGCCATATGGGATGATCTGAAATTTCTGGGCTTCCTGAGGTGACTAATGTAAATAGGAGAAAAGGACATGATAGGAATAGTCCTGATGGCTTCAAGACTAATAATGGTGGTAAGATTGGATTTGGGGGGCCTTTCTCCATATCTAATGGTGGTGGTGTAGAAACGTAGAAGGAGCCCATGGAGCTCCAGGCTTTCTTTCTAGGGTGTGAATCCATAAATGATGTATAACATTGTTTTGCATGTTTAAAAATTATATATAAATGGTAATATATAATCACAGCTTGATTTTTAACTCAATTCTGTTTTTCTATTTTTGTGTATTATTCATTCAGGATTTTTTATTGTGGTAAAATACAGAAATAAGATTTATCATCTTAACCATTTTTGGTAAACAGTTCAGTGGCATTAAGTACATTAGTATTGGGCAACTACCGCCACCAGTCATGTCCAGAACTCCCTTTATCTTGTAAAACTGAAACTCTATACCCATTAAATAATAACTCCCCAATGTGGATTGACCACTTGACATGTGTCCGGTGCTGTCTGGGCTCCTGTCAGGGTTGGGGTGAATCAAACATGTTCCCTGATCTCAGGGAGCTCCAGTTTGGCAGGAGAGACAAAAAGATCCTCTACAGGCAGGCAATAACAGTGCTCTCCTGGAGCTGGAGGACTACTCAAGAGGTATGAAAACACAGAGAGAAAGAGATTGTATCTGATTATGGCATCAGGAGAGGCTTCATTGAGGAGAGAATTAAGATACAGAAATGGGCAGTTTCCCAGTCTATCCCTTCAAGGAAGAAAGTCTAGTGTATGTGCCTTAGCTAAGTCATTTGACAGACAGACTGGAGAGAAGCTCGAAAGGTAGACTTAAGTCTTTAACAACATGCTCAAAAATGAAATTAAGGAAACAATTCCATTTATAATAGCATCAAGAAATAAAATACATTGGAATAAATTTAACAAAAGAAATATACTTCTGATCAGTGAACATTATAAAACGTCATTGAAATTAAAGACCTAAATAGAAGCAAATAGAAAGACATCCTGTGTTCATGAATCAGAAGACTTAATAGCCACTTAGAAGATAAAAAAAAGTTCTGGGATACAATGTACATTATACTGACTATAGCTGATGATTCTGTTCTGCATATTTGGAATTTGCTGGGAAAGTAGAGCTTAAAAGTTCCAATCACAAGGAAAAAGACTTTGTAACTTGTGAGGTGATGGATGTTAGCCAAACTTGTGATCATTTTACAATATATACATTTATCAAATCATTACATCGTGTACATTAAACTTACACAATGTTATATGGCAACTATATCTCAATAAAACTGGGGGAAAAAGACTTTATAGTGTTCAAATGGCAATACTCCCCAAATTGATCTATAGATTCTACACAATCCCAATCAAAATCCCGGTTGTCCTTTCCTTCTTTCCTTCTGTCCTAAAATTCATATGGAAATGCAGGGGGCCCAAAATAACCAAACAATCTTGAAAAAGAAGAATAAAGTTGGAGGGCTCACACTTCTTGATTTCAAACTTACTACAAAACTAGAGTAATCAAGGGAGATGCTGGAGACCCAGGACCCGGAGCAGCTCTGAGGTGGGGTGAATAATAGCTCTTCAAGTCTGCAATAAAAAAATGGCCTCAAGGGGCGCCTGGGTGGCTCAGTCGTTAGAGTTCTGCCTTTGGCTCAGGTCATGATCCCAGGGTCCTAGGATCGAGCCCTACATCGGGCTCCCTGCTTGGCGGGAGGCCTGTTTCTCCCTCTCCCACGCCCCCCGCTTGTGTTCCTTCTCTCGCTGTGTCTCTGTCAAATAAATAAATAAAATCTTAAAAAAAAAATGGCCTCCAGTTTACAAAAAAATGAGAAAGAAACAGAATGAAAAGCGTGAAAAAGTAGAAGAGGCAGAGCCTGAAACGTTTGTGGCAGAAAAAGTACTGGACCAATGTGTAATGAATGGGAAGGTGGAGTATTTCCTGACGTGGAAGGGATTTATAGATGCTGACAGTACTTGGGAACCTGAAGGAAATTTAGATTGTCCAGAGTTAAATTGAAGCATTTCTTAATTCTCAAAAAGCTGGTAAAGAAAAAGATGGTACAAAAAGAAAATCTTTATCTGACAGTGAATCTGACAATAGCCAATCAGAGAAGGAAAGAGATGCTGCTGATAACAAGAGGCTTTGCCAGAGGTCTTGATGTGAATGAATAATCAGTGCTACAGACAGCAGTGGAGAATTCATGGTTCTCATGAAATGGAAAGATTCAGATGAGGCAGCCTTGGTGCTGGCAAAAGAGGCAAATATGAAGTGTTCTCAGATTGTAATTGCTTTTTGTGAAGAGAGACTAACTTGACTTTCTTGTCCAGAAGGTGAAGCTCAATAATTGTTTGTGTTGCTTTTTTATATATGTTTTTATAT